CACGTCCCTTGTGAGGCGGTCTACAATATCCGCATATGTAGATTCCATCCTTTCCCACTTTGTACGTTCTTCCCTCATAATATGTCAGAGAAATTGGCATGTTTTTTGCATTGGTCTCTGTGCCTTGATTCCCTTCCTTCCCATCCAAATTTTTTACCTGCCTGTTTGAGAATGGTTCTTCCTTATCTACTATTGCTGGGTATCAAGCAGCCTTGTCAGATGCCTTCCATTTTTCCCATTACCATAGGGTGTTTTCCTCTTCTACCATTTCCTTTGTTGCATTCTTTCCAGATCCTTCACTCTCCTCATCCTATGCTTCTTCCAGATTGGAACCTTAATGCTGTTCTCCACATCCTTACCAAAATTTTATTCAAACCCTTGGCTACCTGTTCCCTATAACAATTATCCCTTAAAACCTATTTCCTTCTCCTTTTTGCCTGTAATTGTAGAGGTCAGATGTCTTTGCCATTGATGTATCATGTGTTCTTTATCACCATACCTATGTTTTCCTTTATCTAGATCAATGTTTTCTATCCAAAATGTTGGAAGCTTGTAAAGGCAATGTCTCTTTTATACTGATTTACCTACCCATTTGTATTCCCATTCTGATCCAGATAGACTTCTATGTCCTGTACATGCTCTCAGATGTTATATCGCCTACACAGCTTCCTTCTGTGGTTCCTATTCCCATTTATTTATCCATTAGAACCCTTCCTCTCAAAGAGATATCCCCCCCTCCACCCTCACAGTTTGGATTCACCAGCTTCTCTGGTTGGCTTATTCATCCTTATCTCCTGAATCCCAACATTTTTTCTAGGTATCATCTAATCAGATTCAATGTCTTATCTTTTCCCTGACTACTCTTCTACATTGTCCCTTAGAAGAAATCATCCAGGCTAGCATGTGGACCACACCTAACATCTTCTTCTCCCATTACTTCCATCATGTGGTCATTTCTTCCTCATCCGGATATTGCATTCTGCCTGTAGCCATACTACACACAACAATTCAACTGTGAGTTTGTTTATTTCTTTCTTTCTTTTCCCTTAGAGGGTCACACCCTTCTTCTATATTGGATTCCGCTTAGTGGTGAGTGGTGCCTGTTGAGGTATACTTATTGGCTGGAGAACCCACATCCTACCATCTTTTGCAGGATTGGTTCGAAGGAGAGCTTGTTTTGGAAAGAAGCTGGACCAGCCAACAAACCCACACTGTAAGGCATTTCTCAAATTATTAATCAACTGGGGAACCCCCATCATACCATCTCCTGCAGGTTGATTTCCATTCCACACCAGACCGGACGAGATATACTTTGTTGGATAGGGAACCCCCATACTACCATAGAAAAGGAGCTGGACCAGCAACACAACCATATCAACAAGGCCTATAAAGCCCACTGTAGATATGGGATGTTCCACAAGAACGCTAGTAGGTTCACCTCATGGTATATTGCATCATAAATATGCCCATCCCATCATGGACTATCATGAGTAAAGCGGAAGGGGATTGCTGCCCATCTCTCCTTTCTTTAGATTGTATAAATCAGGAGCAGCCTGCTCTTCAAAATAGGATTTCATGCTCACTCATTGCACAGTCTTCAGTGTGTTGTTCTTGTGGACTCTCCACCTTGCTTGCCTGCTTTGGGAGTCCTTACCAGTTTCTAGCCACTGGGGTGGTGGATCCTGGAAACTTCCTCCTGAATGTGCTTAATCCCATTCAGTCAAGAGTAGGGTGGCAGTGTTCTATCAGTTTAAATAGTGTAGAACCCTCTTCCAACTGCAGACAGTAAGAAAAATATCCAAACCTGCATATTCATGGACTGGAGATGATCCACCAAAATTAAGTCCACCCCTCCAACTGAGAACCCCCATTCTATGATCTCCTGGAAATCAGTTCCCAGAAGGTCTGGTGTTGGAAAGGAGCTGGACCAGCCAACATTAGTTATCACAAATGTGATGGTATGGAAACAGTTTGATTGGATATACTATTCGACTGGGAAACCCCATCCTACCATCTCTCACAAGTTTGTTTCTGGGGTGATTTGGTGTTGGAAAAAGAGTTGGACCAGCCAATTGATATACTAATTGGCTGGGGAACCCTCATCCTACAGTCTCTTGCAGGTCAGTTCCCAGGAAATCTGGTTTTGGAAAGGAGCTGGACCAGCCACCAGAGAATGTCTGTCTTGTTTTTAAATTTGGTTGAACCACCACATTTCACTTTCAACCTTTGCTGGGTTGGGTTCCCATATGACTGGGTTTGGTTTTGGATCTGCACATATGTGCTCTGACTAGGACAATGGAATGGAATGTTTTTCCTTTCTGTTTCTTCATCTTGAGGTGAAGATGGTTGGGACCTTCCTCCTACCATGGACTGAATGATAAATATCCAATGCTGCTTGGTTTTTAACTGGAGTTGATATACCAAGTATGATCTGACACACCTTAACCATTCTACAATGTGGTGCACATACATGTATATATTAAACTAACTGACTGGGGGAACCCCGTCCTACCATCTCCTGCAGGTTGGTTCCTGGGAGATCTCGTTTGGAAAAGAGCTGTACCAGCTGACATATCTACAATCAAGGATGTGCTCCCCTTTTCTGCCCAATTTAGTAACACATACTTTCATGATGGGTACAGAGTATACATGGTTCAGATATGGTGCAATTTCCCACAAGTGTGTTCCTCTAACAAGAGAATTCACACTCCATTGGTGTTCTTCGGACATTTTTCAAAGGGTGCTCATCTAAGTAAATTTTGCACCAGCCCCTTCACAAATTCAGTATAGGATTCTAGCTATCATATGAGAAGAGGTAAGATATCACATTGGAAATTAATATTTTCCTACATTGAAAATATATTTCCGATAGATTGTGTGTGTTGCTCTCCTGTTGGTGGAGTCACATGCTTATTTACATGCTACAATGCAGCTGAACTAGGTCAAAACATCAGGTAGGTGTGAGCTTCAAGGCTAGTGGTGAGTGAAAAAATTTGTGCATATAGAGGGCAGCAGTGAATGAAAAAAAGCTATTATGTGAGAGTGGTAAGTATCTATCAGAAATCTCTTTTAACTCTAGGAAAATCTTAACTTGTGATTTACTTAAAAAAGATTGAAACTCTAAGATAAAGTAGTTTAAAGTTTTTTTTAAACATTGTCTTTCAACACAAATTTGGAAATTTCACAATGTAAAAATTATACAAAAAGTCCATAAATTTACATTTTTTTTAAAGCCAAAACTAGATACTATTTAATAGAATTAGGAGATAGTGGAATTTGCTAATAAATTAATCATTGGGTTTGTTAATTGACCACACTCAACTGATCAATTATTTTCACAAAATAGCATAACAAATTGAGTTTTGATACAAACAGTGAGCAAAGCATAGAAAACCCATTGTGTACTTAACAATAAACATAATGGTAATATTTCAATTATCTGAATAGTTGGAATAATTAAAATATTAAAATAAGAAACAGTAATTATTTTCATTAGTTTGACATTAATTGATTTAATTGTAATTTCTATTAATCAATTATTTTACATGACTAACTAATGTAATTGCTGCTCATGGGTATTTTATTATATAGATTAATTGAGTTAATTGCTCAGCTCTAGTAGAATGGATGCACTTACCTTTTTTCTTCTTGTATGTTGACCAATCCTTGGTTTTGTTGTATATTATGCCCATTTACAATTTTTATTGGAGAACAGGCAGGTGTTAACTTTAACTTTTGAAGACACCAAAAAATAATTGCTAGTTTTTTTCCAATTTGCAAGTTCTAAATTGCTACGAGTAACAAATTATTATTCTCTCAAATTACTGTAACTGTGTCATAATTAATTATTTCATATATTAAATGTTAAAAAGATATATATATATATATATACCCTATTTACATGTATAAATCTACTGTAGCAGTTTTATTTTAGCTATTTCATAAACATTAAAAGATGTTCAATTTGGGCAGAAACTGCTGTATCTAATGAACATCTGGATTAACAAAGTCTACTGTACCCCACTGCTGATGTCCCCCTGCACTAAAAAGTATATTTTATTAATTGAATTAGAAACTACATTTTGATGCTAAGTTTATGGACAGTATATTGATGATAAAGTTGTTTATATGCACACTTTCACCTACCTGTATGCGTGGAGGTAATTCGACTTTATTCAGCATAATCAAAATGTCATACATATGAAAGTAATCAACTAATCAAAATTATAGTTTCTGATTATTACTATTTTTGATTATTCCAACTATCCAAGTAATCAAAATATTGTCATTAAGTTGGTTTGTTGTTAAGTATAAAGCTACACAGAAGATTATGTGTGCTCTGCCTACTGAAGCTATTCAAAACCCAATTTTTATCATTACACGTTTTTTATTAATTCAAGTTTGTTCAGCTTTTGGTTAGTATGGTCTGGTGATTAGAGGTGTTGCCTTGTGATTTTAGAGTCTCAGATTCGATTAACATTGAAAACCCTGAAAATAGGGATAGTAAACAAGGTAAACATACAAAGCTGGAGATACTGTATACATTACATACTCAAGCTACAAATCCCTATTTTGACTCCACCAAATATAATTCTAGCTAACAGCATGGAGGTAAAATAGGAATTTGTTTTTTGTTTTTCTCTTCTTAGTCAACTTGTTAGAATAACTGATTAGTTGAATGTAATCAATTAATGAGCTTGACAATTAATCAATTATCAAATTCGACTAATCATCCAGGTCTATAACTCAGGAATGTGTATGGAATGGGGAAGGAGTCAGTGTGAACTTTACAGTTGCTGCCATTAGATGACAAATTCAAGTACATTATTTAATCCTATTTACATATGGAGAGTTTTGACTTGTTTCAATTAAATAAAGAATGTTAAGAAAATTTAATCTTGTTTCCCATTTAATTTTACATTCTAGTAAAAATATTATGTATATTAATCATACACGTAACAACTTAAGCTTAAATCTTAACGTTATATCTTTCTATTCAGTTTAAAAGTGAAGAAGAAGAAAGTACAGAAAAAACAAAGAAAGAACGAAAGAGTGTTCGCAATATTGCTAAAGTAGACATGAAGGTAAAACTTGAAAGAAGTCGACAGAGTGCAAAAGAATGCAGAGCACGAAAGAAATTACGTTATCAGTACCTGGAAGAATTAGTTGCTAAAAGAGAACAAGCAGTATTCATGTTAAGGAAAGAGTTGGAAATGGTAAGTGATACAGAATTAACTCCTTAAACCCGAGTGGATGCTGCCAGCATCTGGCTGAAAATCCCAATTTATCTATCGGATGTTGACAGCGTTAGATAACATTTATGTTTCTTTGGCTGAAAACTAATCCAAACCATGTTGTTATCCAAAAAATTTAGAAAATTGAAATTGTTTAAGGTATGGTAAAAATTATTAGGAAATCATGAAAATAATTTGGCAAAATGTACAAAAAATTATGGGTTTAAAGACTTAAAAGGCAATTACAATTATACTTCTACATATATACTTTTGTGATAAAGAATTAGGAGATTAATTGTACATATACAGTGTATATTTAATACCTCTTTTGCAAGTGATTTGAAAAAATAAGTCCCAGTAGTAACTGTGAACCATAATATACACATACAACCAATTTTTGTTGTAAGATCAGTGCAATTTCTTATTTTCACAGTTATATCTTTTTTTTTAAATATTTATAGGGTCAGTTATGTTTTATTTCTTGCACTTTAAATTCCACTAGCATAACAAACATTTACTGATAGGATACATCCAAACAGAAAATTCATATTTTACTTTGTATTTCTTTATGGAAAAACAAATTCAGTATCTATAGCATTCAACTAACTGAGTTGCTGGCTGGTAATAATAGATGAACTGATTATATCAAGCACTGATTACTCATTAACTGACCAACAAACTCAGTAACTCATTTTTTATATATATGGCTCATATTGTTTTGGAAGTGTTCCAGACATTAAAGCAACAGGCATAACATTAAATTAAACTTTCTTCCAGCTAACCAACAATACAGATTTCTAGAAATTTCTAGGTTAAAAAATATAGGCTATAACATTGACCCTCCTTGGATTGTGAAGTCCCTTGAACAGTCCTATTAAACAAAGAAAACAGTGGCATATTAAACTTAAGATTCCATAATCAGCAATAAAGAAACATGACAATTAAGAACAGTAATATTTATAAATCTAACCATTACAATTGTGAAATGTCTGCAGAATTATGTAATACATAAAGTAAAATTACAGTTTTGGTTAATTTAACAAAATCTTCTTCAGAAGTGCTTATTACCTATGCTGTTACCTCACAACTGCCATGGAATTTTCTGTGCATGCCACAAGCTTTAACAAATTCCCACCACATTTATACATGTTCATATGTATTGCACCAGCCTATCACATAATTGTCATAATGCTGTAGCCTTCCACCACTAGAAGAGCAACACAACCTACATGCACAGTAATCCCTGTAAGAATTAGCACATGATCATAGACTCATTCTTTCCTTGGCACTGCCTGTTTCCAGACATGTTTTTTCTTGTGTTTTATGAGTTTCTAGTCACTTTGATCTACAATCTTTCTTTCTTTATCCCTTTTGCAACAGGAGCCCCTTTAAACACTATTCTGTGCAAGTCACTAGGTTACATTCAAAATTTAATTAAACACCTTTACTATCAATGTATGTGAATGAAATTAACATAAAATGTATGGTATGATTCGAAGTTTTATTTTATCTAAGTTTTAAGTCCTTTATTTCAAAATAAACTTTTAAAGAACTACTTAAAACTTCAGATGTATTGTCACATGACCAACAAGCTGTGAACATTCTCTACTTTGGTCCTCTGTATCTTCAGTAATGCAATGGTAGTCGAGTAGAGGTACATCTAAACAACAAGATGCTTACGTAGCCTTTTGACTTGTTATTTCAAAGTTCTCTGAATGAATACAGTTGAAACAAGCAATAAATTTTTTAAACCCCTGACAGCTACCACACCCATCTTCAATAGATTTGTTTGAGCTTTATAACCTACATGTAGATGTAACATACACGTGCATACTCATTAGAAAGAGCTTTTACACTATAATCTAATAGTGATTATTTTGAAATTGGCGAGCAGTTGTCGTCACAAATTACATATACTTGACTGTAGTATTGTTGGCTGCTTGATCAACAGTAGCACTTATGGTTTTTTCTAACCTAAATAGGTTATAGTTAGAGATACAGTTTCCTAAATGGCTTATTGGCAATCTGAATTTGCTAATGATTAATGTCCAATTTTTTTAATTTAAACAGTAAAACACTGACTTAGTTTTTCAGTTAGAAATATTTATGTCTGTATACAACAGTGTAGTTCAAAAATGTTGTATTACTACACATATAACATTGTTCATCTAGGCCAATTAAAATGAAATTATATGAGTCATAGCAGCTAACAGGGTCACACAAAGTTATCTTTGAGCTTGTCTATATTTACAAACAACAGCTAATTGCAAGATCAATGCCATGACAAATAATAACAAGATCTAAATAAAAAGTATTTACTTTTTCATAAGATAAAAGGACAAGCAGTGGGCCAAAAACAGTGGGTGTCATTACAAACTTGATGGAGGCTCTAACAAGCCCTTGCAAAACTCATTTTACAGAATCTATGAAACATGAAGGACTGCTACCAACATTGTGGATAGCTTAAATTATAACAATCTTATGGAGCTGTGATGAACCATGGTGTAACAACAAGTTAACTGATGATGTTTTCACCAGGTACCCACCTGTCATGACTGTTACCCGGTTCTTAAAAAAATTATGGAAAGTTTAAGTCAAGGTAATATAAACAGAGCTGCAAAGTTTGTTAAATAAAATTTTGAAATATTAAAATGTGTCAACTTGTGCTACTGATTTCATAAATTATTGACATCTTCAGTCATTTTTTCTCCTTGTTTTAATTTTCCTTTGTGCATTTTGTTTTTGCTGGCCTTTTGATTTCAATTTTCTGGGCTTAGTAAAACCCATCACAGTACATATCTTCAACATTACTTCTGTTACTACCGGACAAGTGCCCAACTACAAGCCACGTTCCATTCCATGCATTGCTAACCTACAGTACACCTTGTGTATCATTTGCCTTTGCATAGAAACTATTACCCTCAGGAAAGCAATGAGTAATAGACTCTTCCATATCAAAAAACTGTACAAACTGTGAGAGCTCCCAAATCATATGTGACATATAATTGGCTTATGAATTTGAATAGTCATAAAAAAATACTGTAACATTTTTGAAACTGTTACAATGATTATTGACCCACATACAACCTTGCCCAGCTGTGTGAATTTACAAGTTTTTTCAACACTAGGCTAAAAAGGATACCTGTTGCACACAATAATAATTAATGACACACAGAGAAACATTGGGAAATTGGGTCAAGCTCTGTCAATGGCATGTAATGTCTAGCAAAGGGATTATATATTTCTGAGCTTGGGTCAAAGGGAAGTCAATATCAAAATGTGAAGATCAAGCATGTTTACTAATGACTGATCTTGGGATGGACGAAGTTACAAAGGTTCCTTTGTTTTCTGTCCTAGAGGATCTACATTTTATGATAATTAAATTGCCTAAATGAAAGATTGAATGTTTGATTGAGGGGCAAAGATTTAAGTTTGAAACAGGTGTGGATAATCTATTATGCCATATGCTACTTGCCCACAATCAGGTACGTGGCTTCGATGGTGACTTTATTGAAAGCTTTATCTTAGAGGTTAATATTTTAAGAGTCAGTGATCTCTTCTTTAAACAACTTCTTTAATGAATTGTTTAAAAAAATGAATTTAGTGATAGATATGGCACAGGTTTACTGTCTGGAATCACTCTTCTTTCCTTAAGTTTCTTTGAAGATTGGTTTTGTTGGTAGAGTGGATGCAACTAATGGTCAGGGGATGGAGCCAAATGAGCGTACTTGCATGAAAATCATTGCAGTGATTATTTTTTGATTAATTACAGTGAAAACCTTACTCAAAACATTGAAACCACAAAAAGCAATATATCATTCATTATATACTAATGCTAAAGGGGAGTTCACTGAACACTTTGACATCACTGTCTTGGCTTTTGACTTGATAGTACCCCCAAAAATTCAACATCTAGATTCTTTATCGCTTTCTTCTTTAACTTCTGATTATTCATGTTTAAAACAAACCAATTTAGGAGATGGCCATGTTCAGCTAAACGTAAAGGGGAAATAACAGGCTTGTTATGTGGGATTATTTATCAGGACTTGAGACCTTTATCAATGGTCAATAGTCATTCCTTTCTAAAGTTTTTGAATATTGTGGAACCAAACTATCATGTTCCAAGCAATACAACAATTCACAAAAGTATTGTTTGCTTATATAGCATCAAGTGCGATGAAATAAGGGATGAGTTATGCAACTTTCCGGTACTTTCCTTTACAACTGACCAATGGAAATCTGCAACAAACAAGGCATACTTTGTGGTAACAGTGCATAGTATGACTACAGAGTGGGAGATCAAGTCTTTTAACTTTGGAACAAAAGTGACGTCCGAACACCACACAGCAGGTAATATTTCCAGAGACTTACAAGCTGTGGCGGATGATTGGGGCTTTCAAGGCTTATTCACAGTTGTACATGATAATGCTGCCAGTGTAACATCAGCAATGTCTAGAATGGATTCTTACAATGTACCATGTTTTTCAACTAGCAATTAATGGAAGACAAAAACTAGAACAATGTCTGATGCATGTTCCTTTGCTGGCTTTTTTTGCAAATCCAACTCTGCATGAATTTTGATTCCGGAAAAGCAAAAAAAGAAGGACCCATCTACTTCGCCACTCAAGCCAATACAGGACATGATAACACAATGGAACTCAACACATCTAATGGTGAAGAGGCTTAATCAGTAGAAAGATACCATTATCTAGGCTGTTGAAGACTCAGGGTTAGGAACTGATCAAAGACACAACCAGGCCAAAAATATTTATGATGATAAATAGTATTTGGCAAGAGAACTTATGAAAACTTTGGGGCCCTTGGCCCAAGCAATAGAAATGTGGTCTGGAGAAAATCATGTAAGTTTTCCATCACCTATCCCATTCTCAATGGATTGATAGAAAAGTGAAATCCATCAGTGAATGATTTACTGGCTCTTAACCATTTTAAAGCAATTTCTTTAAATCTGTTCAAGCAGCAAT